CACGTGTTATTATTGTTTAGATAAAACCCCGTTTGGCACTCCAGACATTCAAATTCTGTGCATTTGAAACAACCAGTTATGGTACATGGCAAACATGTGTCATCTTTCAAGTAAAACCCATCTTTACATTCAGTACAAACTGTAGCACTAGTACACAACGTACAGTTTTCGTTGCACTTATTACAATCGTTTCCACTAACATAATACCCCAACTCTAACTCACAAAATCCACACTTCATTTTTTCAGAATCGTATTTGTAATTAGCACTACAAGCCGTGCATTTATTAATATCACATTGGTAGCACTCTCCATAGTACTGACACGTCTGGCATTGTCCACCCTTTAATAAAAAGCCGGGTTCACACTCCTGACAAGTTGTCCAATCAGTACACACTTTACAATCAGGCACTTGATATATGCATTGTGGAATACAATTGAGAGTGGGTGTTAAATCTGCCATTTCGTTTGGTCCACATGAAGAACAATAATCACTAGTATTATGTGAATATGGTCCACAGTCAGGTCTTTGTATTTGTTGAACCCCTCCACAATCTTCATATTCCCCATTCAAATAATAAATATAATATATATAATCCTTTCCTAAACACCCACTTGGTTTTGTATTCATGAGAATAGATTGAACATAATTTGTGTTCACATCCATTGTGTCTTTTATCGTTTCTAATCGATTATTAACAGTGATAAACGTTAAACGTGTATCATAAAACCCGGACAAATCTATATATCTAACATTCATTGATGTTATATTTGTTAATGAAGTGCACCCAGATAACATCTGGTATGTTACAGCATCTAAAGACTTTAAATCGATGCTTGTTAGTCCTTTAAGATTTGAAAATGCATTTACATCCACAGCATGCAAACCACCTGGAAAAAATAGCTTTTTGATATTATTATTGTTGGCAATACCATATGGACAAACATCGAGTGGTTGATATCCAAATTTGATTTGAGAAACCGAGGAATAATCAAAGCAATGATCACTGATTGAAATTATTGATTCCATTCCAATAACACTCACTAAGTATGTTGTATATAGAAATAAGTTACTTGTAGTAGCAACCATGTTTGTCAGGTTTATGGTGCGAATTTTCGAATAAGCAAAACAATAAGGATACATATATCGCCAACCACCCAATGATATGACACTCTCAACACTGGATGAACGAAATGTTGATTCTTCTAACATAACTGGAGTAGTGCTCATAAAAGTTACAGATTTGATAACATTATTCGAATAAAATAAAGACACTTGTGTTGATTTACACACGGCATTGACGATATAATCTTGACATGTGTCTTTGACTGAAGAAATGTCTGTTGTCGAAAGAATTGTTGTTATACATGTTACTTGACAACGAGTAGAAGAATAGGAATGTACAAACATCAGAAACCAAACAACTGAGTAAAGAGAATTCATTTAATCTTAAATAAATGTGAATTTAATTTATTTAATTTCAGTTGAATTATTCATTTGTATTTTGTTTTTAAAAACTACACAAAAGTGTAGTTTTTATGAAATAGTTTTTTTGTTAATTAATACTAATAATTTTTTTCTTATATACTAATAATATATATTAAATAGTATAGTTTATTTATTAATTAGTAAAACTTACATATTATATAAAAATTAATAATTATAAAAATTAAAATTAACATTAAAAGTTATTGTTATAAAAATATAGCCAGTCAAAAAACTTCATATTTTCGGTCGTTTTTATATAAAAATGTTCTTAAATCACGGGAAACAATGAAAACATTAAAACCTTCTGTCTGTTTATTCACTATAAAAACTAAATTGTTAATTTATAATATTTTAATTACGATCCAATTTTTTATAGTATAGTTGTAAATAAAGATTAGTTAAATATAAAACAATAAAATAAATTGATATATCAATAACAAATAATAAGTTTTTATTATAAAAGAAAAATTATTTTTTATTCTTGTTTACATCACCCATTTTCTTTTGGGTAGTTTGATTGTCACAAATATTTTTTATCAGAACACAAAATTATTATTTCAGTCTTATTTTATTCGAAATAATAATATCAACTTGATATAAATTTACTTTGGTAATTACGGGTGGGATAGTTTAACCAAAGCAATTTTAATAAAATACAATTGTTTTATAGTAAAAAGCGCTTACATGCCAATTATGAAGATTTGGTAAAGAAAATAGAAGAAAAAAGTTAGATAGTATTGAAGAAAAAAGAGGAGCTTCGAAGAACTTTAAAAATTAAAATATATGTGCGAGGAAGAGAGTAAAACAAAAGAAGGCGGGAAGGAATTTGAAATATATTGTCCGATCAATCGTCCCGTGTGTGAGGAGGGATATGAGATAGAGGATGTTGAATTATCCGACCATCTCTACATAGTAGTTTCGAAAGTGCTTATGTATAGTGTATTTGTGTTAACTGCTATCGGGACTGTTCAGACGTATTTTGGCCGAAGTGTTTTCATGACCATTTTTGGACTGATTTCATTTGCTCTTTTCCTTTTACTGACATATTGTCATTATAAAGCGATCCACACATCTCCGGGTGTTGTCAAAAACTATGTACCCAATTACCCTGAACAAGAGTTACAAGATGCAATCAATCGCGTGAATATAGGTATTAAAAAGGATTGTAAAATATATGACATATGTTATCCTGTGAGGTGGTGTCCTGTGTGTAATAGCTTCAGACCACCCCGTTCGTATCATTGTAAAAAGTGTGGGTGTTGTGTTGAGAAGCGAGATCATCATTGTCCTTGGGTTAATAGTTGTGTAGGGAAGAATAACATGAAATTTTTCCTTCAGTTCATGTTCTACGCGTCGATCACACTCTTCTTTGCAATAATTATCAACGGGTCATCCCTCTTCCATGCCATTACGAATATGGTTTGTATTTTTTACAATTCTCTTTAACTTCAACAAGTTGTGTAGAGAGACGTATTAATTATTTAGAACACACAGAGTGGATTCAAATGGTCTGTTGTAACTGTCATAGTACCATGTGCAGTGGGTACCGCTGTATCTCTTGCTTTATTCACCGGGATATTTCTTCTCTTTTTGAACTATGTCTTTGTCATAGGTCGCAATGAAACATCGATGGAGTCCATAGAGATCTCCAAACTAGCTTTCATGAACTCTGTTTCACGAGATGTAGTAAAAGAGAGGTTACCAAAATACACAAAAGGTGCATGGAACAATTTTAAGGAGGTCTTAGGTCCCACACCGATCGACTGGTTTATACCGACTCATCGAACACTTACACTTCAACACTGATATTTTTTGTATTTTACAAAAATCAACTTTTTGTTTTGTTTGGTATTGCAGCAATAATTTCTAGTAAAAATAATAAAACTCGAAAGAACTGGAAAAGCTCATATTTTTATTAATGTTTTGTCTGTTACTCAGCATTTGTGCTGCGACATCACTGGAAGAACTCGGGTACTGGGACGGCGTAAAAGCACTTCGAAAGGAATTCCCTTATCTTGATGGAAATGTTTATTTGGACTATACAGCAGCGGGTCTCCATCAAATCTCTCAGTTAAAGGATTTTTATTACGACCTCGCATCACACATCTACGGAAACGCGCGTTTGTCCTCGTTGTTTTTTCTTTCCCAAAAATCAAGACGATGTATTATTCATATTGTTTATTTTACTATTACTTTATAGTTAATTTTATATTAACTATAAAGATTGTTTAATTTACTATTAACATAGCAAGAGGCGATATAACACACAGATAGCATCTCCCCGTCGTCGAAGTTAACCGATGGGATGGTGAAAAAGATGAGGAAGAGAATACTAAAGTACTTCAACGCGAATGAAAAGGAATACGACGTCGTCTTCACGAGTGGGGCGACCGAAGCTTTAAAGACCGTTGGAGAGAACTTCCCATTCACTGAGGCATCTGTCTTTTTATATCTGTTACAGAACCATAATAGTGTTCTTGGGATTCGAGAGTATGCGAGTAAAGCGAATGCTACGTGGGGGTATTTCACGGAGGACGACCCCGAACAACAGTGGAGAAGTGTCTTGAACAAATTGAATAACTTGAACACGACAAACGTGACGCACCATTTGATTGCGTTCCCCGGAGAAGACAACTTCAATGGAGCCAAATTCCCGCTTGACTGGATTTGCAAAATTCAGTCGTTGTCGAACGAGAAAAACAAATTCTATGTCCTCCTCGACGCAGCGGCTCTTGTCCCAAGCGCGCAACTCGATCTGACAAAATACCACCCGGACTTTGTGTCAATCAGTTTCTACAAGATGTTCGGATTCCCAACCGGCGTAGGTGCGCTTATTATTAAGAAGGAGGTTGCGAAAGCAATGAAGATCTCGTATTTTGGGGGTGGGACTGTAGTGATGGCTGCTGCTGATCGAGACTGGAAAGTTTGTTAATATGAATAGTTTAAGTATAGTATTGATTGGATAGGTATTCCCCGACCATCTTCCACCAAAGTATGAAGCTGGAACGCTGAATTTCCATGGAATACTCGGCGTTAAACACGGATTCAAACACTTCCCAGACATCAAAATTATTCAGAAACACACGTATGCACTGACACGAGTATTGTACACCGAGTTACTCAAATTGGCGTATTCGAATGGGACAAAGGCAATTGAAATCTACGGAAATCACAAGAAGGCGAATTACGAGAATCAGGGCCCTGTTGTGACATTTAACGTGTTGAATAGTAGACACACCTATGACAACGTTTTCCCGAAGCACGTTCCTTTATTGAAAATCAATCAATTTTTGGCAGCTAAGAATATCCATGTGAGAATTGGATGCACGTGCAATCCGGGAAGTTGTTTGAGCAGCTTGAATGTAACGAGTCTTGCTGCAATTGCTGTGACAGACCCGAACACTTCAATTGATACAATGCTTGAAGGTAAACAATACGGTGCTGTAAGAGTTTCAATTGGGTATCCGACAACCATCGGCGACATCAGAAAGTTTGTGAAAACGATGAAGGAGTTTATCAAGTTGGTCGAGTAAATTTAAGTTCATTGGTTTTTAAGTGTTGTTTTTAACTATACGTTATAGTTAACTTATTAACTTGAGTATAAGAACAGAAATGAAGAAGGAAATAAACTTACTCGGCGATTTCGTAGCAGAGGATGTTGTGTATTACAGTCGCAAGAACTGGGTCGTGTGCTCTAACGTAGACGCAAGCCTTGCCAGAGGCCGCATTTATTTCAATTCTGAGCAAGACATAAATGTCTTGGAACGCCTTGAAACAGGAGCACGCGACGATCTGTTCGGGCTTGACGTCGAGGCAGACAAATCGAAGACCGCCAAGGATCACTGGAAGTTCCATCGAGTTGTTTTTCTTCAAATTCACAATAGTTTTCTTCTCTGTTGGAGCACCAATGGTGTTCCAGTATTGCATGAAGACACCCGAGTCGAGTGGTTCTTGTGCCAAAAAAGCGTTTGGAGTTAAAGGAAGAGAGAACGCGATTTGTTTTGTCGACGAAGATGTTTTGTGGGTGATGTTAATAACGGGGGATTGATAGTAAAACCCACCAAAAGTGAATTGGAGGACGGACTGAGTTTGGCTCTTGGCTTGAACGACGGCGTTAAATTCGCCACTGGTCAATGTAAGACCCTTTGGACACTCAACGGAATAATGCAAATCGACGTTCTCAGAGGTTCTGTTGCCGAAGAACAAGGCAAGACGGGCCGATGGCGATTCCAATTGTGACTTCATACCAATTTGAATGACTTCGTCTTGGTATAAAACACCTTCAAATGTTAATATCAATTTGGCGTGGTTTGTCTTGACCATTTGTTCCATTTGTGGTTCAACATTCTTTGTGATACACCCTTCGTACCTTTCTGTGTTCTCACTTGGTTTTAATGTCTCGGACTTGGGCGGTTCTGGTGCTTTTGGTGTTTCAAAGTCTGAAGATCCAAAGTCGAATGCGCCACTTGTTGCTTGTTGTTGTTGGACTGGCTGTTGTACTGGTTGGGTAGGTTGTACTGGTGCTGCGACAGGGACCGGAGCAGTTAAGATGTTGAACAAATCACTCTTAGCAGCTTCTGGCTGTTTAGCACCATCGGAGACACCGAGCAACATGAGCAAATCGTCTTTGTCTGTTTCTTTGTTATTCTGTTTGACAACTTCAGCGCTGTTCTCTGTAACAGTGACTTCTCCATCGACAATTGCTCCTTCAGTTGGTGCGCTATCCCATGGTGGAATTGGTTCGAAGACAATTGGTTCCAATTCTTGCATAGAAGTCATGAACAAGTAATCTTGACATCTATCTGAAATTTCAGCATTAGACGAGGATTGATACTTAATAAAGATCTTAGCAATTTGTTCTCTCAAACAGGGGAATGTAGCGTGCAATTTGGCGAACGAGGAGATCATGACCAGTTGTGTTTGTTTTGTGACAAGGGGATACTTCTCGCTTAATATGTCGAATATGTTCTGCGCGATTTTCATGTTGTCTTTCACGACAAGGGAGGCGTACTCTCCCAATATGTAACTCGACAATCTAATAAATGTGTCCCTCCAAGTGACTTCTTGCAAGTATTTGTACGTAGCTTTCGCTGCGAATGCTTGGACACTTTCATTGTTAATCACTATTCTAAGCATTCTATTAACAATTTGATCGGCTATGTAGTCTCCATAGACCGAAATGAGTTGAAGCATAATGTCAACGTACCACTGCAAATTCTTCGCATACTTCTCCGCAAGAAGACAGATCTTCACAATGACCTCTTCCCTGATCGACAAGTCACAAACAGGAAGGAACTTGAAGAGTTCGGTCAACACCTTGTTGCAGCAGTCCGCATCAAAGACATCGTACAACGCTTGGAGTGCTCTTCTCTTCACAGAGATATCAATTTCCTTCAAAGAGTTGATCATCTTCACTAAATATTTCTGAAGCTCTTTCGAGCATCCAATGGCACTCATCGAGCACATGGCATCGAGCGACAAGTATCTCAAGTTCGTCTCCGTCGCGTTCAAATACATTCCCAGCAAGTTGCAAATTCTGATCTTTGTGTTTTCTGGGAAGTCGATGAACGGCGCCAATTCGATGATTTCAAACAATATGGCGAACATTGCGTTCTTTGTGTTTTCTCCCAGTTTCATGTCGCATGTGTCTATCAAGGACTTAACACAGTCGGACAAATAATTTTCTTCTGCACCTTTCTTTGGTGGGATATATCGCAAAATCCTCAAAATTCTCACTTGAAGCCAAGGGGATGGGACACCGTGGTAATTGTACTCAGTGGAATAGTCTTTGTTCATCAACTTAGAAAGAATGTTGAGCAATTTTGATGAAGCATCTGCCCAAGGCTCCGGGTCTTTCATAGCAACAACTGTCATTAACTGAACAACACAGGACACCAAACATAAATCGGTACCATTGAGGAGCTTCATCACTTTGTCTTTGAACTGTGGGTCCAATTGAATGACCGCGGGGTTCTTCAAATACAAATGTTTTAATGTGAGTGCGGCTTTCTTTCGAACAACAGTTTGTATTGTGTTAGAGAACAAGATATTCAGAATATCAGTGCCAAGACTCTCAACCATTTCTTTGTTCCCAATGCACGAAATGACATTGAGCGAACAACACTGATTTAATGGATCGGCCGAGATCAGTTCCGTTCGTAATGTGTTGATAACTAAACGAGTGGCTTCGTGCTCTTCATAGAGTAACACAGACAACGCTAAGTACCCAACTTGTTTGTCCGAGTATTTCGGAGATGTCAAAAGCTCTGTGATGATTGGAATTCCAAAGTCGACCTCATACCCCAACACGTAGATGTACAACAATTTCAATATGTATTTACGTCGTCCGTGGCCTTTCAACTTCTTCCCCGTTTTAAATTCCATACGAATGTGAGCCATTTCCTTCTCAACTGTCTTCTTCTCCTCTTCTTGATTTTGTGAGCGGTGGATGCCTTGAATAAAGTTGTGAAGCCCACGCAGCGTCGTCCTTGAATTTTCCATCTCTTTCTTTGAATATTTCAGATGGTCTTTTTCAAGTTCCAACTCTCAGTGTCTTTTTGGTACTGTTGAGCCGATTTTGCCCAAGTGGTGATTCAAGAAGTCTTTCTTTTGTTTTTGCTTTTTTACGAAGAATTAAAGAAAAAATGCGTTGTATTTTCCCGAGGAAATCTGCACATTTTTTACTTTGCTACCACATCATCAAGGAGACTTGGACATTACAAATTGGTGGTTTTTCATTTTTTTTTGAGAAAGCTACATATACCCAACATTAAGAAAAAAGACCTAATCCACTCATCTTTTGGCTCAACAGATTGATGAACAATCCCAAGTTATCTTTTGGTATAGAAATGTTATTAAATAACAAAACACACAACAAAATTAATGAGCGATGGAAATACTCAAGAACATACTAATTCAAGTCATCTGAACTACTATGATACGAGCAACTAAAAAGTTGGTTTCGCCACACAACGCGTTCTGATACCCTTCGTAATCAAAAGACTGTTGCTCACAAAAGTTCTCATACTCACTCCCCTTCTTCCATACAAAGATGTCGCGGAAGCCTACCCAAAACAACCACTCCCATTGCTCGGAACCCAATCGGAACGCATCGCGTTTCCTCTCTTTCTTGATATTAAACCTCTTCATCCCAACAAGTCGCCCATTTGACTCCAATGAGAACACAAAGGCTTTATCGTCGTCAATCAAACACGCCTGTTCTATTGCTGTATTGACATACTCACCAAACACATTGTTCTTCGTGTCTCTGATTATAAAGGCCAAGTTCTTTCGACTTAATATCTTCTGCCCAAAGACACTCCCCGACTTATTCCAATCGTCACTGTTAGTATCAAATATCACACAACCGACTTTCTTACCCGTCCACGCTTCAAGTTGATCGATTTGTTGTGGTGTGATGAAGTAATTGACTTTTTCCTTCTCTTTTCGAATTACAATGATCTTCGAAGAAAGTCTTTTCTCTGATGTCTTTAACATCCGATTGACTAAATCAAACGTTTGGTGTCGACTCAAATTATATCCACAACCAAGGACTATGTCATTCTGGGACGCTGGCAAATGTAAGGCGCGTCGTACTAAAGTACTCTTTTTGGCACTTAATTTGCCATCATTGAATGCCATTAAGACAAATTCAAAGATGGGATCGCCTCGGTGGTGCCTGACAAGGTACTCAAATCGTTCGTCAGACATCGAAACAACCTGCGCTACATTCGTTTGATCGTCACCTTTAACAACACTCCCTACTTTCTTTGCATTTTCAAGTAACTCGGGGGTGATCTCAAAAGCATCTATTAAGTCGGACTCGACTTTCTCGTTGAGTACGTGACGGTCCATAAAATCGATGACTGCCAGCGGGTTTGAGACCCCGAAGTATTGAACAACATTTTTCACACCCAACGCGTCTTTAATAATATTGAACAAACACTTCAAGGAATACCTTGTTTTCGAGTCAGGGACATTAAACAACGATTGCGTGAATTCGTTGACCATCGACTCATTTAACATTGTCCAACAACTGTTTTTTCAGAACAAGTTTTCTTCGTTTTTTAGACTGTTTTCTTATCGGTTTTGTCAGTACAAAAGATATTTGTTTTGTTTTACTATATCCATTTCGGCATTCTGAACATTTGCGTTTTCTATTTATCTCTAACTGTTTTTCCAATTACTATTGAAATAACTATTATTTTAATTTGTTTAATTATAATTTAAACTATTTTTGTTTATATTAAACTATATAGAAAAAATACTATACCTGACTCAAACAAAGAAAAATTAAGTGTTATAATTTGTTTGAATAAAAAAACTATAGTATAGAAAATGTCATTTGAACTTGTAAAAATCAAAACTATATTTCTAGTTCGTTAATGTCATCACCACTTGTGTTATTAAAGAAAGAACTTTTAGCGACAGTAGACAAATACGTCACATCTGGTTTGTTTTTGTGTTTCAATTTGAGTAAGAAATGACTTCAAGTTAACGAAGAAAAAATAGCAACGATTGCAGCGCCCGTTGTGGGACTGTTAAATGGGATGGCAAACGAAGTCTTTGGTGACCCCGAGTCTTTTAAACAAACTCTATTTTCTAAAGTAGCTGGCATTCATGTTAAAAACGCCACAAACACAGCCAAGAAAGGGGAATTTACACTCAGCTTCCAGTTTTGTAAATACATCGCCACACACCATCTTATAGTTTGTTTTTAATGTTGAATAGTCATATTGATGATAACAAACAGATTGATAACCTTCACTGTTTAATTGACTTACAATTTGGAGAGTTGAAGGAGCGCCTTATATCTTTAAGTTTGAGTGGGTGTATTGTGAACTCGTTGAAACAAACATTGGTATTAAGTTGTGAACCCAAGTGGATTCATCTTAAACGATTGACACTTAAGAATTGTGGTATTACTAAAATCCCACCAAATGTATTTGTTTGTTGATTAACACTTTTAATTGTATTCAAAATATTCAGTACTAGAACCAAACACATTTTCCTAAACTCGAAGTGTTGGATATGAGTAACAATTTGATCACTATTTTGGAGAATATAGTGGACAGACCTTTAGAGTTTGTTTATTATTTAAGACCAAATAATACTTTTATTGTCTAACATGCAGTGAACTGATCATCGCAAATAACAAAATTAATAAAATCCGCTCGAGAAATGGCGGAAACATTTCGTCTCTTGTGTTGGAGAACAATTTGGTGCAAAACATCGGCAACTTGAAGTCGTTCTTTAACTTAAAAACACTCGACGTGCAAAACAACAAAATATCGGACTATACACACCTCAAACCAACCTTCTCGAAAATGTTCTCATTGTCAGAAGTCACGTTTAAAGGAAACCCTATTGTGACTCATCCGGACTATAGACTTCGTGTGACCGTCTCATTACCCGCGTTCGACTTTGGGCTGTCGATCCGGATAGATGGGATGTCACTCACAAACGACGAAAAAACGGGCGCTATAGTCGCGTTACAACAAAATTCGACGATCTATCAAACGACTGATAAAAGTGATAGCGACGACGATGAAAGTGAGGAAGGCGCGATCTTTGGCAAGTTGGAAGCTCACGAAGAAGACAAAGATGAGAGTCAGAAAGAGTCTCAAAAGGTCCAACAAGTGAAAGCTGATGAACAAGACGATGAACTGAACGAAGCGGAAGTTTTAGAATTTTTGAGGAAAAAAGTCGACAAAGGTGATGAGAAATTTATTGAGACGGTGAATCGAGTGTTGGGCGTGGATGTTTATGAGAAGGCTGGGCCATTAGATGATTCTCTTAATTCGAAAATACGAAGTGGGAAATGCTTTGAGATTGATCGAACGAAGAGTAAGATTAAAGGAAAGCTTCGGGTACTTGTGAATACAGAGAATGATGTTAAAACCCTGTTATCTGCACTTAATGAAGGGGATTTAGTACTTAAAACGCCTAAGATCGAACCGACAGTACCGAATGATGATGAAGTCGCAACAACAGACGACTTGACAGACATTCTAAAGAATTACAAACTCTCTATATGATTTAATTCCATTCAGTAACATTGATTTAGTAAACAACTTCTAATACCTTCTAATACTTAAAACGTTTGGCTAATGTTGAGCCTTTTCTTAATTTGTTCCTCCGTAAGCTTGACGTCCCAATTGTTATCTGAGAGCATTATAAGGACTTCTTCTTCACTCCCCAGCCCCGGAAATTTGTGTGTGACGTATTTTAAGAAGGCCGAGTACGTCTTTATAACACTGAAAGTCTCCTTATTAGGGTATAATTGGAGATGGTCATTTAAGATCATGATTTGGGGAGAGGTTACCATAACAAACGTCCTACAGAACTGGAAGACGTCGCCATTAAACGATACATTACCAATCACAGTCACATTCTACTCTTTATAAATCCTTTTATAGTCAATAAAGAACAAACGATAAGTGAGCCCACACATGCAATATCAAAACACAAATTCGTTGGAATGTGTTTCGACCCCTTCATTGCAAATATAGCACGGACTATCTCTTGTGGCCCTTTAAATATCCGTTTCTGGATGTCCGGCGCCTGGATCAACGATTTTAAATTCCTTGATGAAAGTCCTTTAAACACTACACCCTTCTCAAGCGTCACATCAAACACCGAGTAGTTCGTATACACCTGCACCAACTGCTGTGGGTTGTTGTCTTGTGTTGCAAAATACGATTTGAAGAAGTTATAAATTGTTTTGAAATTGTCTCGATTCGGCGGAAATATCGAGTTGTACTGATGCGGCAAAGGGCAATACTCCATCGTCGGGCCATAGAACTTATTTCGCACGTTTTGTCCGTTGAGGAGTTGCAAATACGGGAAATTGACGGTGAGTTGTCTGTCCGTGAGTTTGACCCATCACAAAAATAAATAGTTTATTTATAGTATATTATACTATTTTATACTTTGGCGAAGACTTAAGAAAAGAAAACACAAACGAAATAATGGAAGGGTTACAGACAGGATTTCCCGCGACGTACAATTTACGGAGAGGGAGTTTTTTGAACTCCTTCATATCGTAGAAGTTTGATAATTTGTTGTTTGAGATATCGAGTGCGGAGAGTTGAGAAAAGGCGTATGCGATTTGTTTCAAGACCTCCGAGTTTTCGATTGCATTGTTTGCGAGAGAGAGCTCCAATAAGTCTGGGACTTGTTCGTGGAAGTATTTTAATGCACTTTTGATGATGTTTTCGATTGACTTTGGAATGGTATACCCTAGTTGCTTGAGCTTTTGAGACATATAAGACAAATCCAATTGCCTCTTTTGAACATTTAAGAAGGAATATTTAATAATCTCAAAACACTGAAGTAATTGCGCCTCTTCAGAAGGCTTTCTCTCCCATGTCACTATTGTCTGAACCCCATTAAACACAAAGTTGTTGAAATTCATCATCATACGACCTTGGTCTGTGTTTTTCACAACGACTCGATATGAATGGGAATCTTTCTGTTCGATTTGAATAATACCAACGTCGGGATTTAATTGATTGATCACTGCTTTGAGTTCCGATTGCGTACCGTTGAAGACTTGAAAAATGACAGGAAACCCAACACTCATTGCTCTTTGTAAAAATAGAGATCTCAAATAAAAAAAGGGAGGAAAAAGAAACTGAAAAAAAACAAAGAAATGGTTTGTCTATGAATCCCCTGTGAATGAGTGAATAAGTGCGATTACTCGACACCACTGACATACAGCAGTCCGCTTCGCTTGTTGAAAAAGCTACAACCGTTTGACACTTCCATTTGTTGGTATAGTAAATAAGCACAAAGAACAGTACTATTCTTCCATTGGCATTGTGGGATAAAAGCACTAACAGACAGCAAGACGTCGCGTTCAACTACTATGGGACACTCATCGCAATTGCAAAGTCTGACGGAACAGTTAGCATTGCGGATGCAAGCGGAGAGAGTCCTGTCGAGGTCACGTCATTTGTTGGGTTTGTTTGATTAAGAAATGACATTGAGTTTGAATAAAGACTGATGAACAGACACAAAGGAGCTGTGTGGGGTGTGTGTTGGAGTCACCCACGTTTTGGAGTGTTGGCGACATGTGGGTATGATGGGGAGGTGAAAGTGTGGCGCGAGAACGCATCGCACAAATATGATTGTGTGTACACATATCACCACCACAAGAAGTCTGTCAACTGCGTCTCGTTCTTCCCGGGTTCTGAAGTCCTCAAGTTTGTGTGTGGGTCGAGTGATGGGGAGATCAGTGTTGTTGAGTATATTGAGGCAACAAAAGCATGGAAAGAAGTCACATTTGACGCACATCCTGCTGGCGTGACATCAGTCTCTTTGTATGAAGAGAAGGGTGGTGTTGTGATCTTGTCTGGTGGGTGTGACAGTGTTGTTCGTATCCATCGGAATGTCAGCGGTGTGTGGAAGTGTGTTGATGAGATGAAAGAGCACGCCGATTGGATACGTGGGGTAGACAGTAAAGTGGTGAGTGGAGTCACTTACATTGCCTCATGTTCAAACGACAAGTCTGTTGTCATTACTCAAATTGCAAACAGTGTCAAAACAACCAAGAAACTTTCATTTGATGCAATTTGTTGGAAGGTCGCATTCAGCGTCGACGCAGAACAGCTAGCAGTCTCTCTTGAAACTGGTATCGTCAAACTTTTTAAAAGACAAGCTGGACAGTGGGTCGATACTAAGTGAGCAATTTATGATGAGAAGTGATCCATTTATTTTGATATTTGTTACTTGAAGTTTAATAATTAATAATAATTACATTAATTTTTTAAATAATAAAACCATCTTAATTTAAAATTGATTATAAAATTTAAAGGTATATATATTTATAATTAGTTTTAGTTTTTTTTATAATTATAATATTAATAATAAATATATTAAAAAAAGTCAAACTATAATGTAAATTATGAATATAATAAAAATAAACATTATTTTCTAATTTGCAATACCAAAAAATTTTGATATTATTTACACATGAAAACTTTTTCAACTTAAAAGAACTCCAACGACGAACTACAAAAGAATATGAGCGACTTAAACGCGAAAATGTTATTTGAGATTCTTGATACGGACCATTCTGGGAAGATTGACAAAGACGAGTTTGTGACAGGTATGCGTAAATGGACTGGTCTTGGTGAAGAGTACAACGAGAGTTTTGAGTTTATTTTTGGTGCTGTTGATGGTCAAGGCTTTTTCAATTCAAAGGACGGACTCCTCAATTTGTCCGAGTTTGAAAAAGTCTGTGCAGCGATCCCAAAGTTTTCTAAAAGCAAACAAGACATGATCAATCAGACTGTTTTCAATTTAGTTGATGACAATGGCGATGGCAATGTTTCAAAGAAAGAAATTCGAAAGTTTTTGGAACTCATTGGGCAAAAATATACAGATGATGAGTTTGAAACGTTGTATAAAGAAATTGACGCGAATGGTGACGGTGTTATTCAAAAAGAGGAATTTTTGGCTGTTTTGGAAAAGTAACACATTTTTTAAAATTTTTTAAATATTTTGAATGAAAAACAAGTCATTTTTTAACTCTTAATATTACACCCAATTTTTTTAATTGACTTGTTTTTATGGGATATATTGACATTTTTGTTATTTGTTCCTTTGTTGATTAGTGTATTAGTTTAAGTATAATAAACTTCTAAAATATGTGAAAAGTTATTTATTGACTCAAAATTTCCCGATTTTTGGATTACAAGAATTTTGATCAATGTTATTTTATTGTAAATTAATTTCGAATTAGTATTTATAAAAAAAGTTGTGTAAAATTTTTTATATATTGCTTAACCGGCCGACAAGGACATGGCATATAATAATAATTCATTTTTAAAAAATTCGGCAATTTGCCTCTTAGTTTTATCAATCATGAAACAATTTTCATTTTTTCAATTCAAATATTTTATCAATGAAATGAACTCTTTTTTATGTTGTTTTATTTTTCTTCTTGTGTTATTTCTTTTTTTTTGTTCAACTTTTCCCGACTCTTTGGTGTTTTTATTGTGATTTTATTTTTTTTTGTCAAACAATAATTTGGTTTGAAACATTTGAAAATTAAATGGGGTACAGGGCTCTTAAAAACAAAGTTAAAAAGACAAGGGTTGATTTTTATTGAATAATGGTTTCAGAAAATTTAAAATAAACTTTTTGATGGCAATTCTGATTTAATGTTTGAATAAAACAAAATTGTTTTAATTTGTCTTTTCGATTTTTTTGGGCTTTATTTTTTTTAGTTGGTATTTAAAAAAAATTAAAAATAAAAATGGCAAAAGTTTTTTTTGGTTTTTCTATTCAATAAATGAAAAATGGATAATCTGTTGTTCTAGGTTATAACATAACAACCACATTGTAAATATTACAGTATAATTTGATACCTTGTTGTTGCTGGAAATAATTTTATAGTAACTTTAACACCTTTAAAATATGCTTCACGGGTTTATGTGTAATTATGATTAAAACATAAAATAATAATTATCAATTGTTTTTCAGACTTAATTAAACGGACTTTTAGTGTAAATATATTAGTTAACATTATGTCGCGTTTTAAAACAAACTTGATAATCAAACAAAAGGTGTTTATTTATTTCATATGATAAATGTATTTGAACTAATTGTTGCACCACTATCCATGTTTTCGATTGTGTTTAACAATCAACATAAAAAGTTTTTATTCAATATTTACTATTGAACATATGTTTTATTACAAATATAAAATAAAATAATAAATAATAATTATATAAACTTTGGTAAATTTGTGAAAGAAAAATTCTTTGTTATAAAAATTTTATATTTTTATAAAATATGTGCTAAAATTTTGCTTTTTGCCGTTATTTTAGTTTTTGTGTGTTTTTTGATTAACAAAGAATTGAATTATAACTAAAAATAATTTGGATTTGTGCTATTTATTGAAATCACAATGTAATCGAGTTCTTGAATCTTGTGACGTGGGGACGGGGGTTTGAAATTTTGAGAGCCCTGTGGGGTACAAAATTATAGTTTTACAATATAGTTTATCAATGATTAAATACATTATTTTAATAGTAAATTTAACTATTTAAGTAATCTATTTATAATCAACAAAAAATCATACCAGAAATTAATAACAAAGTTACTATACAATTAGCCGATTTACTATTTGGTTTATGTTCATTTATTTGTAAGAAAATAATTATTTGTTTTGGTAATATTCGCGAGAATTTATTATTATTTTCGAGACAACCAGAAATCAATTCATAACGACGCCCTTTGCTCAGATACACAGTCA